TTAATTTGGCATGTGCACCCGCCGGGTACAGCGTTTCGTGGCCCCATAGGGAGCTCCACCGACGGCGCCAGTGCTACCGCCCGCGCGCGTTCCCCCCCACCCGGTGCAGCGCTTCGTGGCCCCATATGGAGTTTCATTGAAGAAGATATTCACATTTCCGGTACCCGCAACTGCATATGGTTGAGTCCTTCGCTAGAAAAGAAAAGCGTGCATATCTCTTGTCATTAATATTCATGGGGCGCTCGATTTTGACATCTTTGCGAAACCGATGGTGTTGGGAAGGTTTCGGCATGCGCGGTCGACGACGCGCGCGCATATCGTTACATGTTTCAAAGGGGGTGTTGAACATTTATGAGCATTGATGCGCGAGCGCGCGTGCGCGATATTTTTCGCGCGGGGGATGGCGGGAGGGGGGGTCCAGCCAGCCCGGCTGGGATGGTATGAGCTCATGTTTTAGGATTTTTAGGATGGGCGATGGGGCAGTGTCATATGTAAACTGCATTGCGAAAAGGTGAGTTGCGAATCCCAGAGGGGGGTCTATTTTCTTTTATCGAAGGAGAATGTTCACAGTTGTCCATTCCACTGCTCGCGCAACCATCCCACCCGCCCATCCGCAACTTGGCTTGCAGAACACGTGCGGCGGCGATTGCCATGAGTGCTTGGTGTTGGCTGGTGCATATCTGCGGCCGCGCTAGCCCGCGCATGCAGTTGCGCGCGGCGGCCAGTTAGTTTGGCGCGACCGACGCGGCCGCGGCGGCGCTGACCGCTGGGCGCATCTTGGCGGGCACTTCGCTGCGAGTCGGCGACTTGGGCGGGCGCGGTATCGTGGCAGCGTCGACAACAGTAGGCGCGACGCTGACCGCGGCGACGATGGTGGCGATGGTAGCAACGACGACGGCGCGGCCAGTGATGGCGCCGCTGTTTATCGCGCCGGCGACGATGGCGGCGGCCTCGTGTCGAAGGCCGTGGATGGTGTGCGGCGCGCGCCCGCGGCCGACGCGCGAGTGGCCCGCGCGGCAATATCTGGGCGGCGCGAGAGGCCCGCGCGGCGAAATTCAATGGGCATTGTTTGGCTAGAAAATATTTGCATTAACAAAGGAAACACAACATATGCATATATATATATATATATATATATATATATATATATGTATATATATATATATAGATATATAGATATAGCGAGCGCAGGTTTTTTGAGGCAAGTGACGTTGCCAAACCATATGCTTTTATAGTTTCGCGAGACTCGGACTTTAAATCATGTCGAGCCCAGAGGTTTTTGACGGATTGCGGACAGCGAGCGCGCGCGACGGCGCTCGAGCGATTTTGGCGCGCGCGTGCGCGCGAGGCCCGCGTTGCAGGATTTTACAG